GTGAAAAAAAAAAATCCTGGTGTGCCGACCACCAAAGATCAACGCTGCTGCTTACCAGAGGGATAGAACTCAAATGCAGGGAGGTCTGTAAGTGGTTTATGTAAATGATCCAAAAGGGTGGACGGATGGATGATCTGGATTGTTCACAGTCCTCCATGAAGCAGCACAACTCCGATTTGGTTTATACACAGAATCGTCCATCGATTCACAGATCCAGCCGCTGAACTCCCTGGCAGGCATGATGACGTTTAATGCCACCCTTATGCGTTTCGTCTGAAAGGACACCTTCATTGGGGCATACGAAGAAAGATCAACCTAACCCTACTCCCATTATCATAACTAGTATAAGTCAGGGAGAGAGGTATTTTGTCATGGATGGACACCAGGAAAGGAAAATTATGCGAAGGTAAGTATTCATTTTTCAGCATAACTCGCCACCCGTGTGTGCCGACCACCAAAGATCAGCACTGCTGCTTAGCAGAGGGATAGAACTCAAATGCAGGGAGGTCTGTAAGTGGTTTATATAAATGATCCAAAAGGGTGGACTGATGGATGATCTGGATTGTTCACAATCCTCCATGAAGCAGCACAACTCCAATTTGGTTATACACAGAATCATCCATTTATTCCCAGCCGCGGAACTCCCTGGCAGGCATGATGACGTTAATGCCACCCTTATGCGTTTAGTCTGAAAGGATGCCTTCATTGGGGCATACGAAGAAAGATCACCGTAACCCTACTCTCCATTATCAAATAACTAGTATAAGTCAGGGAGAGGTATATTGCCATGGATGGGCACCAGGAAAAGAAAATTACGTGAAGGTAAGTATTCATTTGTTTTTTGTTTTTTCTGCATACTTATGGTGAATAACTCGCCACATGGGAGAAGTTTGCTGCATATATATTTTAATAAAGGAACTGAGACTTCAGTCCTCTTTTTCCAAAACCTCGAGAGGCCATACTGGAGGAATCCAAGCTATAGTGGGATATCAATTTTGAAAATAATGACCGGCTGGCCACTCGAAAAAAAGGTTTCTGGCAACACGCCTCGCCAATACTGCCTAGGATGACGAACTGACGCTTATTCAATGAGTGTTCACCAACTGAGGAGCCACCAAACCAATAGCCTGATAAGCCTTTTGTATTCAATCAAAAAGCTCCTATACAGCCACAAAACACTACTTCCTCCCTAGGAAGTGAATAAACTATTATTTGTACTTTTTGTGATAAACTTCCCAATACTCCCAATCTATCTCAAAAATTCAATAAACCCACATATTCCAAAAGGTGATGATCAAATCTAAACTAAAATAATAGTAAACCCCCCTCCAATATATAATCCAAAATCATCAAATATAGCAATCAAAATAATACAATAACATAAGTAAAATAAGAATATATATGTGTCCAAATCTCCAAAAAATAATAATAATAATAAGTGTCCCAATCTCCAACAAGATATATAATAGATAAATAAATGTCCAAAAATTCCAAAAAAAGTCCCAAAAAAAGTTCTTTATGTGTTCAGTGAAGCAAAACGATTCCCCAAAAATGCCTTGTTATCCTCAAAGTGAAAGAAAAAATATCATAGTGTAATATCCTCAAACATAGACATATATATATGCTTCACACTGTGCATTAAAACTCAAATCACATCAAAAATAGTGAAAAATCAATAAATCAAAGGGATCCCTTCAGATGAAGTCTGGAAGTGACGAAACGCGTTAGGGGAGTGACGTCATCACGCACGCACGCTAACCGGAAGTGTCGCCGCGGCCATTTTGTCGGTTGGAAACAATCGTTTTTTCAACCAGAGATTGAAAAGTGCAGTACAGAGAGCTGGATAACGTGTTTTTACATGTAAGTGTTGAATAAAATTTATATCTTTTTATGTAATCTGCCTGATTGAGCCTTCTCTTTGTCCATATGAGGAATACCCCGGGATAAGAGTGATGGAGAAATGCCTTTCCTATCTAACAGTATATGCCTGAATATATCATAAGAGGGTAATGGTATTTAGCATCTACTTTGGCTGGAGTATTAAGGATATTGGCACCTAGTATCACTATTCACCTGAGATTGGAGTGATCACGTTTTCTCACGTTCATTTTGATTTATTGATTTTTCACTATTTTTGATGTGATTTGAGTTTTGCACAGTGTGAAGCATATATATATGTCTATGTTTGAGGATATTACACTATGATATTTTTCTTTCACTTTGAGGATAACAAGGCATTTTTGGGGAATCGTTTTGCTTCACTGAACACATAAAGAACTTTTTTTGGGACTTTTTTTGGAATTTTTTGGACATTTATTTATCTATTATATATCTTGTTGGAGATTGGGACACTTATTATTATTATTACTTTTTGGAGATTTGGACACTTATATATATTCTTATTTTACTTATGTTATTGTATTATTTTGATTGCTATATTTGATGATTTTGGATTATATATTGGAGGGGGGTTTACTATTATTTTAGTTTAGATTTGATCATCACCTTTTGGAATATGTGGGTTTATTGAATTTTTGAGATAGATTGGGAGTATTGGGAAGTTTATCACAAAAAGTACAAATAAAAGCCTTTTGTATTGCCTTCACGATCCAACTTGTTCTGGTTCGTGACGAGGCAGCTTGCCCTTTCCTTGCCCCCACTGGTACAACAAAACATGTATTATACTCATGAAACGTGATGGTAGAAGAAACAACATTTTAAAGGCCTTGAAGTGTTCAAAAAGCGTAATTTTGAAGAAACTTTCTGATATGGAAAAGCTGACAATGCCCACTCTTGATTACAGTGGTATGCTGATGGCACCTTAAGGACAATTCGATGGATTGGTTGCAATGCAACCCTATCAGGGAAAAATGCGAGGACCTGTGCATCTTTAGGCTTGGAATTACGAAACTTCAAGCCGATGTTGTAGCCACCAAGAAGATTTGTGAGATGATTTCTAATGAGCATTCTTCTGTTGGTGCAAATGGAGCCGAGGAATGGAAATCCAAAGCTTAGGAAAGGGCTGACTTGGGATAGATCTTTGGTTCTAGGTGACCTAAGAATTGCTTGGATAAACCTCTCTATTAAAGGATTGGGGGTCCATCCTTTGTCAGTAAGGGCTGACAAGGCCGAGACCGGAAATGTTCAAGGTGTTGACCCCTAGGCCCTGCCTGCGAAAACTTGAGGATGTTATGAATGTCCAGAGACAACGGATTAAAGCGCTGCATTTGGTGTGAACTTTCTCATAGATTCTTTAATAAGTGGCATTTGATGAGTTCTTCTTTGCTTGAAGGACCTGAGAACATCCTAAGGCCCTCAGCCTTCTTCGTCTAATCTCCATGCACTCAAATTTGGTATCTCCAGCTGAGGATAAAGAAACCCCATCCTGGAACAGCATTTTTGGAGATGGTGGCAGAGGAAGAGGATTGCAAGTTGACATGTCTTAGGAGTGGGAACCAAAGTCTGAGGCCAGTACACAATGACAGCTGAGACCAGCCTTTTTCCACACAGTGGAATCCTTGCAATAACTTACTTAGGGAACCCCTGCTAAACATGACTAATATCTACAACTCGTGATACACTAGTGTGATGGTTAGTGGAAAGAATGCTCCTTACATGTGTGGCTATTGGGAAGAATTACCCCCTTACAGATCGCTAAAGCAATCAATGGTGTCAGTATGAACTTACTGGAGGAGCAGAAATTGCTCAAGAAACCTCTGAAGGAAGCCTAGGCTTTCATGGAACCCTGGTTGAGAAACCCTTGCCCAAGACAAATACTTGTTCCCTCACCAGATGCAATAGGGACCTCCAGAATGAGGAGTAGGAGGATAAGCATACCCCAACCGAAATAATCCATGCCTGGGATAGACCATTCACTCCTGCAGTCTCCTGCCATGCATATGAGGGATAAGACATAGAGCTTTTTGAGTAGATCGGAGAGATCTATCAGGGGGACAACCCCAATTCTGGCATATCGCAGAAAAAGCTTCTTGATTCAGAGACTAGTCCTCATTGAGGAAGTTTCTTGAAAGGTAATCTGTTTGGAACTTTTGGAGTGTTTAGATATGTTAGATTCATTTCCTCCCAAGTGAGAACTTTCCTGGTAAGTGTCCTGCTGTGAGAATTTCCTTGGTTCTGGATGCAGGTTGCTGCTGCTCTGTTGTCCATTAGAAGTAGAACTGCCTTGTAGTAGTTGTTCCAGATGCGTTAAGGTCCTCCAGGCTGCCCAGAGCTCCACAATGTTGGACACTATGCCTTCCGCTGGAACATGCCATTTTCTGTGGACCATTACTTTGCTCCACTGGGTGCCACAACCCCGATGACTTGCGTCAGACGTTCATCTAGTCCAGGAGGTGTGACCTTGGTGGAAAGGGTAAAGAAGGTTTTTGGGATTTGTCTGTCACCATAAGTGGGCCTACATCTCTACTGAAATGAACAATCTCTGGGACATGGATAGTCTTCTCCACTGGCTCAGGAAACCCTTCTGAAACACTTTTGTAGATTCCTATGCCCCACCTGACCATGCAAATGCAAACCAAAAGGTCCAAACAGCATTGGACACTCTGACACCATTCTAGATCTGCTTGCTAGGGCCCACTGCACTTTTGACCTGATGACTAGGTTCTTCTCTGGTGGCAATGAAATTGAGCATTGAAGGGTGTTCAGAAGAGCCAACAGGTACAAACCGTTCTCTGACTGGGAACCAGATGACGTTTGGAACTGTTGATCAACCACCCAAGACCTGCTTAAGGCTGAAATCACTTGTGGAAGATGGGGAAGCACGGTTTCCCTGCTTTGCAAAATTTTGAAGCTGTCGGTCAGATAGCAGAGGTATGCCCTGTCCTGAAGTGGAGCTGATGCCGCTAATAGAACTTTGATGAAGGGCCTTGGGGCCATTGACAGACCAAACTGAAGGCACTAGATTTGCAGATGTACTGTATATGTTGAAGCAAAGAAACACCTGCAACTGAGGATGAATTGGTATGGGCAAGTATGCATCCTGATGGTCTAAAGCAGTGGTCTTCAAACTGCAGTCTGGGGGCTAGATGTGGCCCTTTGCTTGCTTTTATCTGGCCCTCGGGCACTATTTAATTCACTGATGCCAACAATGGGCCATAATTCCTCCCATTGTTTGGTGTCAGTGGGAGGAATAGTGCCCCATCGTTGGTATCAGTGGGAGGAATAGTGCCCCATCGTTGGTGTCAGTGGGGAGGAATAGTGCCCCATTGTTGTTGTCGGTGGGAGGAATAGTGCCCCATTGTTGTTGTCAGTGGGAGGAATAGTGCCCCATTGTTGTTGTCGGTGGGAGGAATAGTGCCCCATTGTTGTCAGTGGGAGGAATAGTGCCCCATCGTTGGTGTCAGTGGGAGGAATAGTGCCCCATCGTTGGTGTCAGTGGGAGGAATAGTGCCCCATCGTTGGTGTCACTGGAATAGTGCCCCATCGTTGTTGTCAGTGGGAGGAATAGTGCCCCATTGTTGTTGTCAGTGGGAGGAATAGTGCCCCATTGTTGTCAGTTGGGAGGAATTGCCCCATCGTGTCAGTGGGAGGAATAGTGCCCCATTGTTGTCATTGTTTGGTGTCACTGGGCCCCATTTGTTGGTGTCACTGGAATAGTGCCCCATCGTTGGTGTCAGTGGAAGGAATAGTGCCCCATCGTTGGTGTCAGTGGGAGGAATAGTGCCCCATCGTTGGTGTCAGTGGGAGGAATAGTGCCCCATCGTTTGGTGTCAGTGGGAGGAAATAGTGCCCCATCGTTGGTGTCAGTGGGAGGAATAGTGCCCCATCGTTGGTGTCAGTGGGAGGAATAGTGCCCCATCGTTGGTTTCAGTGGAGGAATAGTGCCCCATCATTGGTGTCAGCAATGATAGCTGAAATGTGGTCCAATAGCGTACTTACGCATAATGCTAAATCAAGCCACACTCAGCCTGCTGCCGCTCTTTGATCAGGATATAACTCAATACATTTTTTGACCCACCTCAGCCTAGGCATTCCACTAGAGGGGTTTCAACCTCATGGGCAGCAGTGGGCCGAGTGTCCCAGGAAACAATCTGCAAACTGGATACGTGGTCTTCTGTTCATACCTTCATGACTCGTTATTGTATAGAACCTGCGTCTGACTCCTGCTGATTTTCCCCGGGGTGTCTCGGCCTCTGCTTCCAGTCAAAATTAAATTGGTTTGGTGTCACCCTCCCGTGTGTGGCTAGTTAAATCCCAGCTGGGCTGCCATGGAGCCGTCAGGAAAACAGAAAACTGAATTCAAATACTTACCGTGATTTTCCTTTCCTGACAAGCTCCATGGCAACACAAATCCCACCCGGTTTAGTAGCCCACATAGGCTGAGGTGGGCAAAAAATTGATTGAGTTACGTCCAGATTGGGCAGGGGGTGGGTGGGGGGGCCTCACCCAGCTGTGCTGCCGTGGAGCCTCACCCAACTGTGCTGCCGAGGAGCCTCACCCAACTGTGCTGTGGAGCTGGCCGTGCTGGTGGAGCCTCACCCAACTGTGCTGCCGTGTGCTGCCGTGGAGCCTCACCCAACTGTGCTGCCGTGGAGCCTCACCCAACTGTGCTGCCGTGGAGCCTCACCCAACTGTGCTGCCGTAGAGCCTCACCTGTCAGGAAAGGAAAATTATGGTATTTGAATTCAATTTTCAGTTTTTTTATGCTTTTCAATGGGGTGTGGCCACAGACTGGAGCTCCACTCTGGACAGGAAACATGTGACCTCCACTCCAACTTTGTTTTAGTGAACTTTATTGTAACGAACAATCTATGGCAGCAGAGTGGAACTCCACTTGACAGAAGATATGTGACCTCCCCTCCCCCCCCCCTTTTTTTTTATTTTACATTAATTGAATGAACTTTAACATAACCTATAGACTCAACTCTAGAGGGGTCTGGCTGCAGACTGGAGGTGGAGTGGAGGTCACATGTCTTCTGTCAAGTGGAGTTCCACTCTGCAACCTCTGCTTTTTTTGTTAAAGTTCACTAGAAATTTAAAAAAAAAGGGAGTGGCGGTCATGTTTCCTGTAGAAAATGGAGCTCCATTCTGCAGCCAGACTATTGGGCTCCATTGGCGCCTAACTTCCGCCCACTCTGCGTTCTATTGGCACCTAACTTGCGTTCCATTGGCACCTAACTTCCGCCCATTCCGCGTTCCATTGACGTCTAATGCGTTTCATTGACGCCTAACCCGCACACTCTGCGCTTTCCATTGACGCCTAAATTCCGCCCACTCTGCGTTCCATTGACACCAACTTCCGCCCGCTCTGCATTCCATTGGCTCCTAACTCCCGCCCACTCTGCGTTCCATTAGCGCTTAACTTCCGCCCACTCTGCGTTGCATTGGTTCCTAACTTCCGCCCACTCTGCATACCTCCTAACTTCCGCCCACTCTGCGTACCATTAGCGCTTAACTCCCGTCCATTCTGCGTTCCATTAACGCCTGACTTCCGCCCGTCCTGCACCCTATTAGCGCCCACTTTCTCCCCCACAGCGCTCCGCCCAGCTCCTCTCCCTGTAGCCAACAAATCCCCGCCCACCACCTGTAGTACTACAGCACCGCCCCAAAGGACTTTTAGCGAATCAAGAGGCGGCAAGGAATCTCCGCCCCTGTTCTGTCCTATGGGCGTTTGCTCCGGCTCAGAGGAGGTGGGCGGGGTTTGTCGGTTATAGTAAGATAGAGAAGCTGGGCGGGGCATTGGAGGCACAAGCTGGGCGGGGCATTAGAGGCACAAGCTAGGCGCGGCCATTCCTGTTTGTCGTGTTCAGTTTATAGCGCTCCGCCCCATGATGGCTCAGCCACACCTTCTGTAGGCTCTTCTGAAGTCTCTGAAGCCCCGCCTCCTCTGCGTCCCCTGAAAAAGCACACTTCACATCGCTCCGCCCACCCTGTGAGGTGGCCCCGCCTCTCCGCTTATTCTCGGGGATTCTCTCTCTCCAAATAGCGCCACGCCCACCCTGGAATGCCGGGGTCCGCCTTTCCCCCTCCGACCACCCTGTAAGATGGCCCCGCCTCCTCTGCGCGCTGAGAGGCCGCTCTGCCGTACGGCGCCCCGCCCTCCCTGTGATCCGGCCACGCCCACTCTCTGCAGCCCCGGCCGGAGCCGCTCCCTGATCTCCGGATCTGTCAGAACGTCGGGACATGGCGCACCAGACCGGCATCCACGGTGAGTCCCCTCCCCCCCCCGGGGGGGCCCGGATCCGGGGGTGCGGGGCCCGCCAGGGGGAGGAGCCCAAATATGTGCCACAGCCATTGTTATGTGTGAGAGGCATACATTGTGAGAGATCGCTGACTGACGGGTGAATACATTGTTACCCAGGAGGCGTCAGTAACCATGTGTCATCTCCATCCCTCAGTCATCTCCATCCTCAGCGATCTCCTCTGGAATAATGTATCCCTCTGAGATCACTGAGGGGTGGAGATGATACATTGTTACTGAGGATGGAGGTGATACATTGTTACTGAGGATGGAGGTGATACATTTGTTACAAGGGGAGATGACCGAGGGATGGAGATGATACATTGTTACCAGGGAGATGACTGAGGATGGAGGTGATACATTGTTACTGAGGATGGAGGTGATACATTGTTACAATGGGGGAGATGACTGAGGATGGAGGTGATACATTGTTACCAAGGGGAGATGACCGAGGGATGGAGATGATACATTGTTACCAAGGGAGATGATCGAGGGATGGAGATGATACATTGTTACTGAGGGGAGATGATACATGTTACCAGGGGAGATGACTGAGGATGGGGGATGGATGGATGATACATTGTTGCCAAGGGGAGATGACTGAGGATGGAGGTGATACATTGTTACCAGGGAGATGGAGACTGCCAAGGAGATGATGGAGGTGATACATTGTTACCAGGGGAGATGATCGAAGGATGGAGATGATACATTGTTGCCAGGGGAGATGACTGAGGATGGAGAAGGTGTACATTGCTACCAGGGGAGATGACTGAGGATGGATGGAGATGATCATACATTGTTGCCAGGGGAGATGACTGAGGATGGAGATGAATAATAAATACATTGTTGCCAGGGGAGATGACCTGAGGGAGATGGAGATGATACATTGTTGCCAGGGGAGATGACCGAGGGATGGAGATGATACATTGTTGCCAGGGAGATGACCGAGGGATGGAGATGATACATTGTTACCAGGGGAGATCAATAAAGGGTGAGAGTGATACATTGTAACCCAGAAGATATTACTAATAATAACAATGTAACACTCTCCCCCTCCACTGATCACGCAGTCCCTCAGTCATCTCTTCTATAACAATGTATCTTTCCATCCTCAGCGATCGCTTCTAGACTAATGTATCATCCCACTGAGATCACTGAGGGACAGAGATCTTATAGAGGAGATAACTGAGGATGGAGATGATGATACATTGTTACCGGGAGTGATCAGTAATACATTGTAACCCAGAAGATATCATAAATTAAATTCTTTTAATTCAGAGTTTGCTCTCTGCCCCCCTCCCCCCGCCAGTGGGCCCCGGAGCGTTCTAGGAAGTATGTGAAGGGATGAGGCGCCATCAATCTAAAGGCAACCTATCCGACGCGTTTCGTCTCAGGACTCCCCCTTCCTCAGGGCGTTATATAATAATTGGGATATAACCGGAGAGGAGAGCGAAGATGGCGGCTCAGATTTCACGCGCCACATCCGAAGGCTCGGTTCACAAATGGGGGGGGGGTGTGCCGGAGTGTACGCGTTTCGGTGCGCTGCGTGTAGGGCTGCCTTACCTGCGAGAAACGTGGAAAAGAAGTCCCCGACCCTTAGTCCAAATCCCGAGGTGCTGAAACGCGTAAAGCTGCGGCTTGTGCTTTGCTGTTCATGTTAGCAGATGCATGAGAGGCCAGGAACAGCGGCAACGCGTTTCTGCTCCGGTGTGACCGACGCCTGATCTCCGATCCTTTACTCAGTTGTATCCCTGATTGTTGTCGGCATATAAGGCCCCGACAAAGGGGGCGCTCCGGGGCCCCTGAAACACGTTGCTGTCATCCAAGGCCCTGACAAAGGGGGAGCTCCGGGCCCCCGAAACGCGTTGCTGTCATCCAAGGCCCTGACAAAGGGGGCGCTCTGGGCCCCTGAAACGCATTGCTGTCATCCAAGGCCCTGACAAAGGGGGCGCTCCGGGCCCCCGAAACGCGTTGTCATCCAAGGCCCCGACAAAGGGGGCGCTCCGGGCCCCCGAAACGCGTTGTAACATCCAAGGCCCTGACAAAGGGGGCGCTCTGGGCCCCCGAAACACAGACGTTGTCATCCAAGGCCCCGACAAAGGGGCGCTCCGGGCCCCCGAAACGCATTGCTGTCATCCAAGGCCCTGACAAAGGGGGCGCTCCGGGCCCGAAACGAATTGCTGTCATCCAAGGCCCTGACAAAGGGG